GAGTAGTGGGAGTCCGTGACCCTCCCCCAGCCTGAGAGAGGGCTGGTGCCATTGGAAATTTGTCGGCATGTGCCACACTCTCCATAAGGCCCACTAAACGGACCAAAGCATCTTGAAGCACTAGGGTGGCGATGAACCCCTCTGAGACCTGAGTTGGTCCGGCTGGCATAGTCTGGGCTAGAACCTCCTCATTGAACTCTACTCGAGGCTTCACTGCTGGTGCTGCTGCTCAAGGTCTAGGCTGAGCTCTGCCCCTGTCTCGGCCTCTAGAACGACCTCGGTCTCGACCTCTTCCCCGTCGTAGGAGCTGCCACTAGGGGCTCTAGGTGCTGCTAGGCTGAAAATGCGGTACATGTTCTCGCCATCTGCGAGAGAACAAGAGTAGAAGAGTTCAATTAGCTAAGAGAGAACAAAATCTCACGACAGAAAAGAATAGAAGTGAAATTTGTTCCTAAACTGCATAGCCTCTAGAAGATAAGTACAGATATCTCTGTACCGATCCTCCAGAGTCTACTAAGCCTGCTCGTGAATTGTGAGACCTAAGCAACCTAACACTCTGATACCAACTTGTCACAACCCGGAATTCTCACTGTCGGGACCGTGATGGCGCCTGACATTTCACTTGCCAGGCAAGCCAATGTTAGAGGATTCTTAACACCAACTTTAACAAACTTCAATAATAAGAACATTTAAGCTAAATAGAAAACAATACTGCTTTGCAAAATAACGTAAACCTGAAATATCTAAAATATATAAGATCTGGAGTCTCAACTCACGAGCTACTATGATTCACTACAAACAGAGTCTTAAAGGAAATACACTGTTCTAAAGGAAAATAAACTGTAAAATACTAAGACTAGGGAGAGACTCCAGGGTTTGTAGATGCCAGTAGATCTACCTTAGGCCTCCGGTCAATCAATCCAACAGCTAACCTCGCGATTAGCTTGGTCCAGTACCAAAATATGCATAGAAGTATAGTGTATGATCAGCACAACCGACCCCATGTACTGGTAAGTATCAAGCCTAACCTCGACGAAGTAATGACAACGCTATGACAAGCCACCTACATAATAAACTTGTGCAATTTAACAGTATTTTTAGAAAATAGCAACAAATAGAACCTAGACAAGAAATATCGGGATGGGAACATGCTGAGGGGGTTGCAAGATAAAGAATCACAACAGTAATAAGAACTTGACCAAACAATATACCTTGTACCAATAAGAACAAGTAAACACAGTAAAGGAAAATGCACGGGATCATCCTTCGTGCTTTTACTGTCAACCTCACCATATAATCAATAGAAATGACACGACATCACCCTTCGTGCATTAACTCACATAACATGGCATGGCATCACCGTTCGTGCATTAGCACTCACAATATGGCACCACATCACCCTTCATGCTTTTACTCTATCGTAGCATGACACGACATCACCCTTCGTGCATTAACACTCTTACTTAACATAAAACAAAGAACAAAAGAGAACAGGGATATAGAAATAACAGGAACAAGTCTTACTTCAACATTTGGTTCAACAAAACCCACCTCAACTTTGATATCAATACTCAATTATCATCAAAAGATCCGTAAACACGATAAGAGCGATCAACTTGATTATACTAGTCTAAACATGGATAACATGATCAAGGAAAGCAATAATTAAAAGAAATCAAATCCCACCCACATGCTTTAACCCAACAACAACGCATAGGTACTCGTTACCATACCTATACGTTGTACCCAACATCTAAACACGTAGCAAATAGGTAGATAAGTCCTAATCCCTCAAGTTAAGGTTAACCATGACACCTACCTCGCTCCAAAAACCAAACTCAAAGCTCAATCACCATTTTGCCTTTCAAACAAGCCTCCGAACTAATAGAATCTAGAAATTTACCAACCAAACGATTCAAATTAAGCCTTAGGAACTACCCACCATTGTAAAGAATTCAATTTAGGTCATTATTAAAAAGGTCAACAAAAGTCAACACCCGAGCCTGCTTGGTCCAAACTCAAAATTCAGACCACAACGCAATTACCCACTCACCCCCAAGCCCGGTTATGTGATTTATTTTGCAATCCGACCTCAATTTGAGGTCCAAATACCCAATTTACCAAATCCTTAGTTTATGTACAAAAACCCCCAATTTCCACCACGAGAACTCCAGATTTTAGGTTGAAATCTTAGGAAAAGTAGTGAATGATTGAAAAAACTAGTGTAGAATCACTTACCAATGATTTGGGGAAGAAAAGTTATTGGAAAAATTGCCTCTAATGTTTTAGGTTTGAAAATTTGAAGAATGAACAAGAACTCGCGTCTAAGTCATATTTACCCAGCTCCAGATGTCGCATTTGCGACCTAGGCTTCACAAATGCGAATCCCGCAAATACGAAGGAACCATCACAAATGCGAAACCCTTCACACCTCTGTTGTCTTTGCAAATGCAAAGAATGGTTCGCAAATGCGACTCTGATGCATACGCAAATGCGACCCAATAATCGCATTTGCGATCATTGCCTACCCAGCACCCACTGTGCAAATACGAACTATGGCCTCCTCAGCCACTCTTCACAAATGCAATGAGTGGATCGTAAAAGCGAACCCAACTGTGGTCGCAAATGTGATGATTGACCTTGCAAATGTGAGGTCTGAGGCCTTCAACAAAGATCTGAACACAAGCTTTGTAAGTCTAATTTTCACTCTGTGGCATATCCGAAACTCACCAGAGCCCTCGAGGCTCTAAATCAAAAGTGCACACAAGTCTAAAAAAATCATACAAACTTGCTTGCGCGATCACATCACCAAAAATAATACTTAGAACTACGAATTGAATACCAAATCAAATGAAATTTTCAAGAAAACTTGAAAACTTCTATTTTCACAACCGGACGTCTGAATCTTGTCAAACCAACTCCATTTTTCACCGAATTTAACAGACAAGTCATAAATATGGTATTGGACCTATACGGGGTTTTGAAAAAAAAAAATAGACCCGATATCCAAAAAGTCAATCCTTGGTCAAACATTTCCATTTTATTAAGCCTTTAACTTTTAAATTTCGACAAAGTCTGATATCTCGGACTAGGGACTTCTGAATTCGATTCCGGATATACACACAAGTCGCAAATAATGATACAGACCCACCAGGACCGTTAAAATACGAAATCGAGTCCGTTTGCTCAAATTATTGACCGAAGTCAACCCAAATGAAGTTTTTAGGTAACATAAAAACTTTCAGGAAACACGTCCGGACGGTGCACGTAAATGGAGGAGGGATAAAATGAGGTGTTTAAAGCTTAAAAATGTAGAAGTGGGTTTTAAAACACATGATGACATTTCGAGTCATCACAGATTTTTAAAGGATAAAAAATGCGAGCGACATTTCGCTAAGGTGTTTCGTGCTTTTAATATAGTATAGATATAGATAAATATACATATTTCGTAGAAAAGTTACTCGGTTATTGGAATCACTTTAACCCGTAGTTTGGTAGCTACATCCGTCACTGCATGTATTTTGTGTACAAAATGATAAGAAAGACGAATGAAGATAGAAGATGAATTAAAAGCTTTCTAAATTGCAGGTGGGAAAGAGGTAGTTGAGAAGATTTTGGTTTTCCAAGAATTGACATTGTCATGCTGATGTTTTCTCTTTTTAATTTTTGTTTTGTTTTGGAAACAAATGAAATCGTTCATCACAATTGGAAATGTTAAATGTTGGTATATAGGCCATCTGGATCCATGTTAAGTAGGATGCTAAGGTCTATGTCCAAAAGGAAGCCATATTCATATAATTGGTGTAAATATAAATGCGAGTAAGTTATTATTGTCAGACTAGAATATTGGATTCGGCAGTCACCAAATAAGCCAAGTTCCGATGATCGAAGCGCGATAATAGCCTACCACACCCTGACTCGCCTTAACTTTTACATGAATGCAAAAGTAAGAAGAAGTGTTCTTTCTAAGTATAGCCGTCAATATGGGCTTGGCCCGTTGGGCCAGCCCGGCCCAGCCCGTGATTTAGCAAGGTTGGGCTAGAATTTTTGGAGCCCATTTAAAAACGAGGTTTTTAAGCCCAACCCGAGTAAGCCTGTAGCCCGTGAGGCTTGACTGAGGCTGGGCTGGGCCGGCCCGTGGGCCTAATAAAATATTTATTTAAAATATATAAAAAATAAAAAGTATACTGCCTTTAGAGGTGAAAAATCAGAATTGGATCTTTACTAAGAGGAACCAAAACTTGATCTTGAAAAGTTTCAAGAGATGATATTGTAATGTATTGGAAGGACCATTCTAGAAAATATCCCGATCTTTCAATGATGGTGCGTGATGTACTTAGCATTTTTATTACCATTGTACCATCGGAATAACCATTTAGCATTGGCGGCGTATTCTTACAAAGTACGGAAGTTGAATTTATTATGAAAATGTTCAAACACTTGTTACTACTCTAAATTGGCTGCATATGTTTTCCCAAACTCAAACTGGTAATATTTTTTTTATGTGAATTTAAATATTATTAATTTTTAAAATTTAATTATTTTTAATATTTAACTAATTAATATTGCATATGAATTGTAGATGAAAGTGAAGATGTTAAGACAACCTTGTCACAAGCGGATTCAAATGTGTTTGATGAAGATGATGTGTTGGATATCTCATAAGCATCATGAACGTTCTCTTAAATAGTTTGTTTTAAGTTTTGACTTTTAGTGAATGAAATATAGTCCTGTTTTTACTTTTTTTAGTATATATGGTGATATATTGGAACAATATAAAAAGTTATTAAATTTTGCGAATTTTTTCCAACATGATATTTTTTTACCATTTAAATAATTATCTTTTTTTAGGTCAGAACTTAAAGAAAAAATATAAAATTATACTTTTTAAAAATGATGGGCCGGCCCGTGAGGGCTCGCGGCCCACATAGGACTGGGGTGGGCTGACCATTATAAGGCCCATCAAAATAGTGGGCTAGCCCAACCCAGCCCGTCAATTGCTAAAGTCCACGTAGACCGAGCTGGGCTAGCCCGACCCAGCCCATATTGACAGCTCTATTTCTAAGTGTAGAAGAAGAGTAGTAATGGCAGCTATTACTGCAGCAAAATAATGATACGAAGAAATGAGTGTACTGAAAACCAACTCAACGAAGACAATTTGAATCATAGGAAAAGACACTTCTGAATTGTTTCTTTCCTTAAAAGAAGAAAAAAAACCAAAATTGAGAAAAAAGAAAAATATGAATTCTGGTCTTAAGGAGTGCCACATTACCTTTAAAATATAGATCATACTAATATTATTGATTCATCCTCTCATAAATACTATAGCAGAAAGAAAACATCTTATATACGTATATACACATACATGATGTGTACAGTATACGTACATTCTTTATTATGAAGTATTCACCAACAACAGAATTTGATACTGACACATGAGGAGCGTTAAAAGCCGCCAAGGGATGTAGTCGAAATGACCCTTTAATACAAGCTTTGACATAATTTAACTGTGGCAAGTCGGATTCTTGAACAAATTTTTTGCCCCCAATGACATTGTCAATCTCTTCTATGGCCCTTTGCATTATCATTGGTTGGTTCAACATTTCTTTGATTGTCCATTGGAAAGCATATGACGGATTATCTAACATAGCAAGCATGAATTCCTGCCAAGATAATTGGTAACCAAGAAGGTTAAACAAAATAATTGTATTTGATTTTCTAATAACAAACTTAATGCTTTTCTAAAATCAAATCGAAATATTTTCCAAAAAACAAAAAATGCAAGTCTCATTTCCACATAAACTAATAAAATGATGTAATCCAAACGGACAATCGATCTTCTGACGTATGTTTCAAAAATATTTTCCAAATTCTTCTGAAACTACTTCCTCGTTCAAATTTATGTTAACATTTTTACTTTTCCAGATTCAAACTACGTATATTTTGAAAGACATTTTTTCATCATATCAACATGGGAAGAATTAAAGTTATTGTACTTTTTGTATAGTATTTGAAATCCAAATTTTAACTTTAAATATCGAGTTAATCTAATTCAATTTAGCTTCAAAGATAAGATAAATTGACTCTCGAAAAACGAAAAAGTTCAATATAAACTGGAACAGAGGGAATAAATCAAGAAAAGTCATCGAGTAATGTTGAATTTTAATTACTTATATGGTCAAAAAATATTGAAATTGGTTTTAAGCAAGATTCAAGATAGATTTAGCAGTTTCTAACGAAATCTTACTTGTCTGTTTCTCTTTATATGACTCCTTAAGAAAGAGACTTTTGAAATTTATGACTATACATATGTCGTGACATTTATAGCCGTAAAAGCACGTCACCAAGGTAAAAATGAAAATCTTAAAGTTTATCATGTTGTTCACATGGGTTAAGAGATTGGAAGTATACTCACAAGGACTTGCGCTTTAATCTCTTTAGCATTCAACATAGTATTCCCATTACTATCTCTGAGCATGATAAGAACATCAAGGATGTCTTCTTCCACATTTTTGTTGCCATGCTTCCAAATATGAATCCTCTGGTCAATTTCAAGATCAATGTGTTTTGTTGCTATGGGAAAGGCTTTCTTAATAATTGCCTTGTGACCATCTAAATAAAATCTACTTAACCATGGTAAGTAATCTGAGATACTAAAAGAATGAAAATATTCAAGTAGTGTAAAAATTGCATCAATTTGCTTCTCCTGATCTTGTTGTAATTCTACTAATGGTCCTCCATTTTCTATTATTCTTTTTCCAAGTAATCTCTTGCTGAAAATCATATTGTTAATAACATTTGCACAATAGTATCTTGTCACTTTTCTCAAGTTAATAACAAGACGTTTGTTAATGCACTGATCATAAACGAATCGAATAATATGGTCAGCTTCTTCATCTCTCTTACGAGGAAGCCATTGAAATGATGTAGCTGAGAGGACATGGGAAGGAAGGATTCTTCTCATTTTCATCCATTGATCACCCATAGGAAGAAAAAGTGAAGTCAAGCAGCCATTGCTAACGAGGTTTGCGTACATGCAAATAGGACTCGACGAGAAAATCGAGTCTTGATTCTTTAAAAATAGGCAAGCAAGCTCAGGAGAAGTGACAGGAATGACATGAACATTACCAAGACGAATGCAAGCAATTTCAGTATTCATTTCCTCCATTAGTTTGTGTATCCACTCAAATGCTGGCTTCTTGTTTAGTACCATTTGAGGAATGCAACCAAATACTGGCCATGGTTTTGGACCTGGAGGCAATAATGGCTTATTTCTTGTAGTACCCAATAATTTGCTTGTTATCTTAAGGATTATGGAAAAGAAAATTTGCCATAGAGTAGTAATATAGCTAAAGAAAGTAGAAACCATTTGAAAAAAATAAAAAATGTGTGGCAATTCAATATTTCTGATCATGATTTTCCTTGTTATTACTGAAGGCTATGTCTCAAAGGTTGCATGCTATCTACACTATTTATACTTTGCATGAGCTTGCACATTAGTATTTTTCAGCAGTAAGACTATGTTTGGATCATCATCACCAATCATTTTATAATGTATTGTATTGTATTGTGTCATTTTTATTGATACAACGCTTGGATAAAATGTATTATTGTTGTTGTTAGATAACATTTTTCACTACTAGAAATCCGGAAAAAAGCGACCACAAAAAGCGACCAAAGTTGGTCGCTTATGGCCCAAAAAGCGACCAAAAAATGACCAAACACGCCTGGTAGCTATATTGATGGTCCCTTTTATTTAGGGATCAAAGTTGGTCGCTATTTAGTGACCAACTTTAATCTCTAAGCTAAAAGGGCCAAATATTCTGATTTTGACTTTAGTGACCAACTTTGGTCGCTATATTAATTTAATAATATAAATTTAGCGACCAAAGTTGGTCTCTACATATGAAATACGTTGTTTTTAATTTATCATTAATCATTAGAAAGCGACCAACTATGGTCTCTAATCCAAATATTATATTTTAAAAACTGGACAATAGAGACCAAAGTTGGTCGCTAAATTCAAGAATTTAATTTTTTTCAAAGATAAGCGACCAACATTGGTCGCTATATTTTCATAAATTGTATTTTTTAATAGAATCTGGGCAGGTAGCGACCAAGGTTGGTCGCTATTGCCCAGAATTTTTTTTTATAGTGAAAAGCGACCAAATAGAGACCAAAGTTGGTCGCTTTTCTTGGTATATTTTTGGCAGAAACTGCCTGTTTTGGCAGCTACACCACCTGCCAGCTTACCAAACATCCTAAACATGCGTTTTATGCCAGCAACAACAACAACAACAACAACAACAACAACAACAACAATAATTTAAAGCAACAATCAATAGAACTAACACATTAAGCTAACAAAACTAAGCTAACGCTTATTACAAGCCCATTCGAACTAAAAAGAACTAACACAATAGAACTAAATTTTTTTGTCTAGTTCAAAGTATATAAAGTACTCAAGGAGTGTTCTTTCAGCATCCTCGTCCGAAAGTTGGATTGCCTCGCCCGATTCATTAGGTGGTTGACTGCGTATGAATTCCCCCACGTCAGCTGCATGTGAAGCGAACCTATATGAAAAATTATATATATTGAATTAGTATTTCAAAATTTATATAAAAGTAAATCAAAATACTTAATGAAAAGTAAAAAACTTACATGTATATAGTCGAGGTTCGACCCTCCTTTCTGAATCAGTCTCTTTCTTCTTCTTTACAATACGAGTTTCATTGAATAACTCATCTTGCTTCATTGGCATCATAAAGCTGTCTGGTGGCTTTGGTGATTATCCTCGTGGTACTATTACTCGGGATGAACTTGGATACAATACTTGACAGGGTGTGTCTTTGATCAATTGTTGATCTCTATAGCTACAATGATTATGAGAAGGCAAGGACATGTGTTTCAAAATAGTGATGGTGTAGGTAGGATTTAACATTTCCTAAGTAGATAAAAGA